AGAATTTATGGTGGTATTTAACAGGATTGAGAAATGACTAAGATCTGGGCCAGGTATTGTTGGCAGAAATGTGGTAAATCTTGTGGTTATGGATAGTTTGAGTCTTATTTATACCGTCGATTGGACATTAACTGTTTGAACTGTATATTGGGGGATTTTCAAAGTTTCTTTATTCTGAACTGGTAGGATCCAGTTCTATGCTGACATGAAGAGCTGACAGGGCTGGATCTTGACCAAGAAACAGAGTTTATGGTAGGTATACTAGGTTTACAGTTTAGATTTATCCAAGTGGCACACTTGACCACTGCAGTCATGTGTCTAAGGACCATTGATCAGGCTGGAATTCTGCAGCTTTAGTCCATCTGTGTATGCATCTCATAGGGCTGAGGTGGCTAAGAACACCAAAGCATGGCAACAACTAAGGATAAGCTCTTTAACATTTGTTATATTATGCATGTTTGTATTTTACAAGGAACAAAGAAAAACACTGGTTTACCGTGGAACACCTTTTCTCCTGAGAATGGGAAGTGGCACGATGTGCTTATAGCTTGAGAAGTGAGACGGTCTAATGATGTCTTCCAGAGCTAAGGAGTAGGGACTGAAGGAGATGTAGTTAAGATTGACAGCTGGTTACGAAGCCTGTTAGCAGATCTTGAGGATGGACGTAGTGAGATGCAGCAAACCTGTACTTTGGCTGAAGAACCTGCAGCAAGACTCCGCGGCCTGGATTGCTGACCAATTGCATGCAGATGGACTTTCTGGGAAACCTTAGAATGTTGGAGACATTTATGGGAACAGGAATCTTTCATTAAATACCTCAATTTTCTTTTGTTGTTGTTGTTGTTATAGCACAATCTATCTTACGCTCCCTGATTTAAGATAAAGATATTACAAATAGTGCTTGAGATAAGAGGAATAAGAAAATAAGAAAGAACAAGTTGAAAAAATGATAGCTTATGAGGACTAACTTGGCAAGAATTGTGAGGGCTAGGTGGTGAAAAGTTGGAATGGAGCTAAGAGACACACTATGATTGTAAAATAGGTGATAGGTATTGTGTAGATAGTTGCTGAAGTATGCCAGGTTTTAGTTTTATTTAGAAAAAACCATAAGCATTTGTTATATTTCCGTTTGATAATTATCTGAGCCCCCAAACTTCTCCTCAAATGGTCTGTTTTAAAAGTACAATTTATTTACTTCCCTTTATCTGAAGATATGTGGCCTACATTTCTAATTTAAAAGTGCTCATAGTAAATTTTAGGGTAGGTTAGTTAGCATTTGCTAAAACTTGGTTACTGAGTAGCTGCATCTCTGAAGTGTGGCTCTGACTGTCATGAGCAGATTACGCAGAGAGCCTGGATTCCCATCCACATACCTGCTCTGCTTGCATGAATCAATTGAGTTTAAGTACACTCAGCTATGTGTGTTCAAGGTTTGAAGTAATTCACTTCTTTTTTATTTTTAATCCTCATTCTTGGGTTTTTTATATATGATTCTGGACAGTGCACACAAGCTCATGTTGTCTAAAAGGAAGCCATTCCTTGGGAGGGTTAAGGGAGGAGCTAGAGATCTAGGAGGTGGGATCACAGAGGTAATGAATGCTTCCTTCATGATGACAGTTTCTGGCAGTCCACATGGGTTGTCATTTGGTCTCTTGTCAAGCTCCTCCCCATCTGCCTCCATTTCCTTTGTCCCCATCATCTGATGTCTTTGTCTAATTTTGTCTGACACCAGTGATACTTATTTGGGACTTAACCTATGTTCTCATTTTAACTTGACTACAACAATATAAAGCCCCATTTCCAAATAAAATCACAAAAAGCCATAGGAGGCTAGATTTTAACAAATTCTCTTTTTATGGAACATAACTATTGAACAGAAGAAATATGCTACATGTATAAGATGTAATATACTTATTTTAAAGGAAAAGTTATATACGAATATTCTGAAACTTGTTGCTATTCTGTTGTGTGTAAACACTATGATGAAGGCAACTTCAAAAGAAAGTATTTGAAGGGGGCTTGCTAAAAGTTTGATGGGGTTATTAGTTCATGATCATCATGGCAGGAAGCAGGCAGCCATGGTGCTGGAGCAGTAGCTGAGAGCTTCATAGCTTGTTCCACAGGCTGCACTCAGGCATAGTAAGACTGCCTGGCATGGACATTTCAAACCTCAAAACCCACCTCTCAGTGACATCCCCTCCTTCAACAAGGCCACATCTCCTAATACTTTGCAAACAGTTCCAAAAACCTAGGGAGCCAATATTCAAACATGAGCCTATGGGGCCATTCTCATTCAGACTACTATACTTACCGCCTGACATTTCCCAGATCATAGTTACATTGATGCTGCCCATGTAACAATGTCACTGTAACTTGTAATTCCATTGTCATGCCTCAAATCCCTTAATTGTGACATGTCATATTATAATTAGGAAAATTGGTATTAATAGCAAAATCATACCATAGCAATTTAATATAATGGCATTGGTATGAAATACAAGTGCACTGCATATCTTAGTACCTGACTGGGTTTGAATACAAGCTCCAGTGTAGATGATGCAGATTGATCAAGATATGTTGACACTAGATCATAAAATGGTGGAATTTTATTATGATCTTGCTTAGTGCTATAGATAAATATCTCTCTGGCTTTTAAGTTTTTAATTTGAAATTTAACTGTGGGAGAAAAAAACATGTGAAAATATGTATTAGACAGTTGCTTTCATCACTTCAGATACCTTTGGGTTTAAATTGTATTATCGTCTCAGTCTCTGCCTGCAAATCCTAGATTGATAACCTAATTAGTGCACCTGGAACACGCTGACGGAAGACATGCCCTCCAGGGGGAACAAAGGAACTGCTCTCTGCTTTTAATTTCAAATCCACCCTTGTCAGTACAGCTTGGATTTTGAAGAACACCTGACAGCCTGTGATCAATGACCCCAACCAAGCATCCTGTCAGAGAGGAGCATAAAATTGATTAAAGGATGTCCCACTTCTTATAGAATCCAAGCAGTTGTGGGGGAAAGGCTAAAATAATTCAGATATTTTACTGTAATCCTGATCAAAGAACCACATACATGGAGGGTATCACTTCTCTACATTTTTCAGGGTGACTTTAGGAACTCTGGGTTTTGAATTTAGTTAGCTGCAAGTCTATAGAACATTTAATATGTGGGGGTGAATGTTTTAGCATTCATTGACAGGACATTCCAAAGCTTGTGTATAATTTTAAACTTAAAATTAAGGTGTAGCTTCTGGATGATACCAAGAGACATACTAATGCAGACAGGGGAAGCTCAGGAGTCTCAACCATAAACAAAGTGGGGAATTCTGTAAGTTGGAAAAATATTGTCTTCCCTAGGGAAGAACACACAAATTGGTTATCCAAAACCAACTGGTGTTGGATATGAACAGAGTTACTATATGGGGCAAAGTAGGTTGCATTTATGAGAATGTGTGTCTGCACACACACAGACACACATGAAAGGCCATACATTTGAAAAAGTAAGGACTGGAGGATGGGAGGGAGGAGAAGTAAGGGGAAAGCAATATAACTGCAATCTCAAAAATGAAAAAACTATTAGCAAAAATAAGGTCAATTTGTTACAGGCTCTAATGCAGTGTTTAGAATTCTGGGAATCTTCTAATTCAGTCAGGCCACTCTAGGCTTGCTGCACATCCTGTCAGTCATCTACCATGCCACTGGAATTGCAGCATGCTCCTGAAGCAGGTGCATGGCTTAATTGAAATAAATGCCTCTGTCCGGTGTTGTAGAAGTTCTGCAAATAAATATGAGAAAGTAAAACGGAGTAAGATTTAAGAGTAAAACCAGCAAGGGCCTAAGGGAAGCTGGATACAGTTGCTAAGTTACTTTTGGGCTCAGGGGAACTAGGGATATAAGGAGCCTGGGCTTGATCTAGAGATTGTCTGCATACATTCATGTAATAATGCATAGTTATGGTAATCATAATTTTACACTCTGATTGACATTGTGATAAAATGTTTGAGCGGTAGGTCAGCAGTGAAAACAACCCATTGAGTTTACAAGTGTTTCTCATGCTGTGGAAAAATAAGACTGATTCTTTAATAAGTTGTAAAGGTTGAGAAGTTTCATTTTAATAGTGATAGGATTGGCAATCACAGTTCCTAGTTAGGTGGTTTACACCACAGTGATAGGAGATTGTGAGGTATATGGGAACCAGAATCCCGAGTTCCCAGTAGAGGAGTTAGAAGACCAAATGTCCAGTGTACTTTAAATAAAATTGTTGGTACCTACAAAACTCACTGTGGAACCTGCTTATGAATCCAGGAAGGATTTAATGTATCACACAGGCACTCTGTATGTTGTGTAGTTAAGCTCTGCTTGGACAGCGTCCTCAAGTGCAAATTTCAGCATCTCTGTTTCTCACTAGGGTCCTGTGATCACCGAGGATCTGATGGCAGCCTGGGGTTTAAGGGAGGAGGGGGAAATATGCCCACCCAAACCCTGTGCTTTTATGTTCAGGAGGCCAAGGCAAGAGGATCTCTGAGTTCCAAGCCATCTTGGAGTAACAGAGCAAGACCCTGCCTCAAAAAAGCAATGCAAAGACAACAAAATATAAAGATTATAATTGCAAAGGATGGTGGTGGAAAGTTACCAGTGATGGAATTCTGTATTGCAGGAGACTTGGATTAATATTGACTACAACATATAGTGCCTCTATAAGCACTAGAATTAAAGTATTATGCAAAAGAAAGTTAAAACAGTCCAATTTCATTTTTTTTTTTAATTTGAGATGTCTTCCAATGTAAGGTTACTAGGCTAAAATGATAGTGATGGTGCTGTGTTATTTATTGTACCTGGTGTTTTCTAAACACATGATAAATGATGAAAAAGTCATGATCAGAATCCTTTGCTAACATGTTTTAAGATGTTCTGAAGTCACTGCAATTTGATACATTGGCCAGAGGCTAATCGTTCACAGTGCTCATTGTAAATTTCACCTTGATTTCCTCAGGCGAAAGGATGAGAAGAGACTCATGTATTCCGGCTGTGCGCGTACCCTGCTTGGGCTGAGACCAGAGCAGTTCCTTCGCTGTTGTATCTCTAGGCCGAAGCCTGCAAGCTTGTAGCCTCTGTACAACCTAATTCACCAAGCTGATTCAATCTGGCATCTTTTGGCTTCTCAGTGAATTGTTGTGTTTCGTCTTTTGACAGTATGTTCTGGCTTGTTCTGTCTTCAACTGTGTCTAACATGCTGTCCCTGCGGCCTGTCTCTGTAAAACTGTGCCAGTGAAATTGTCACACGCATGCACGCACGCACACAGGCACGCATGCCACAACCACCCTTTTCTCTTGCTGATCTTCAGTAGTCTCTCCTCTTGCCCTCTCTTTTTCTTTGTCTTCTCTTCCCACCAGATGTGAAAGCAACTTTATGCGACAATTGATGTCAATTGTCCCGGAGGTTTACTGCTGAATAAGCTCACCCTTTGTAGTTCTGAAACTCTGGCTGGCTGATTCAACTCAGCTGTTCTGGTTCAAAACCCGTCTCCAAGCTGACTGATTCAGGGGGCGCTCTCTTGGCTTCTGACTTAATTGCTCTGCTTGGAAAGTCTGCTTCTGAACTCCAGGAATGGAACTGTACTGACTGCCCTGACTCAACTGAACTGAACTGCACTGAAGTGATTGACTCTTTCCCCCTGTACTGCTCTTAAGTAGCCTCTCTTTCCTGTGCTGTCCTCTTGAGTCATGCTGTCATATCTTTCTCTGGTTCATCACTTGTCCCTCAGTTAGCCTGGCAATTTCAAACATGTCACTTAACATTTCAGTTGTGGTCACTTAATACTGCGTTCAGAACTTGAGTCTATTGAATCCAGAATGTGAATCCATGCCTTTGTGACTGTGACCTCACTCTCTTCAGTATTGTGTAAAAGTTTTAGGAACTCTCCAAGTAAATACTTGGTGATTGTTCATTGATAGAAAAGAAAAATGCTGTGCAGATAATAATAAATACAAAACTATAAGGTTATCCAGTGTCCTTGTAGCATTTTGTATTCTTTAAAGTCTATCTAGAATACTGTACTCTCGGTTTTACCTTTTCAACCAATGACCTCCACTGAAAGGGGTCAGCGTGCATCGTGTTTACTGATGGAGAAGTTCAGCAATGAGGCATAGCCTTGTAACTACAAACCTCTGAAAGTAAAAAGTTTAAGAAGAATCCAGAAGCAGCCAGAATACTTCTTGTAGTGTAAACATTTGTGGAGTTGATTGTTTGTAAATCAATATTGTGTGATGATTTAGCATTTTGCTAAAACACAAGTTGTAAACAAGACTAAAATGTAAAGGAAGAGGCAATGGTGGGAACAAGGTTGGATGAGCTCACAGACACAGAGCACAATATACTGTTTTCTCTAATTGTCATTTAATGGAATTAGGGCTTAGAGCACATATTACTAGATTATCATGCTATTACCCAAGTGGTTACCAAAAAGTTCAGTTTACAAGTGATAGGATCTGGTCTTTGAACATTTCAAGGAGCTACAGGAATCTCTGTTCAAAGACATTAGAAGTTGTTTCAATTGAAATGAAATATTTTATCATCGGTTATGTAAAAGCCACAACTGCCAATGGAGTCATCACTCCTAAGTTGAGAGACTGAATATATGTGCTAATTAATAATTAGTATACCGGTGCTCGAGCCTGAGCTCAGAGTCTTCCACATGTTAGGTGAGTCCCCTACCTCTAAGCTATAGCCTTAGCCCTTGGATGCCTACTTTTAGGTGAGCATTCAAATACAGTAGTCTCTATTTGATTTAAGCTTCAGTAACTTTTCTATAGGATTAAACACTAATTATATTCACAGCAGAATGATTCAAAATGAAACAGGGATCCACAAGTGTTTAGACAAACATAGAAAATATTTGTGTAAACACATAAAGTCAAACTATTCTGAAACACCACCGCAGCTAAGGCTGAATGGACTCATGTCCTTTCTAAGTGGATATGGTGGATGTGGATAACAGCTTTAAGAAATCTGGTGTCCCGATGCTTCCTGTGGTTAGACACAAAACGTCCCTTGGCAGCTTGAGGCACAAGTGAGGTCAGAAGCTGATGGCACATCGTCTTAACTTGGCCACAAAACCCTCCTAACAGTTACTCTAGCTGCGGTCACCACTGTCACTCAATGAGCTTCCAGACAATTTCTTCAAGTCTTCTTTTCATTAAGCTTAAAGTAACTGTCACTCAGAGCCCACGAGTCTCATGGCTGTTAGATAACCAGGGAACCTGTGGACAAGAGACCTAACATTCCACATACTTCATTGTCCATAGCCAGGGGTGTGCTGGTTAGCTTTAGGTCAAGGTGACACAAGTTAGAATCATTTTGGAAGGGGAACCTCATAACAAAACGCTCCCTCTAGCTTGGATTGTGGACAAACCCTTGGGTGTTTGGGGTTTTTGTTTGTTTGTTTGTTTGTTTTTGTTGTTTTGTTGTTTTTGTTTTAATTTGTTTTTTATTGAAGATTGCTATGGGAGAGCATTGCTCATAGTGGTCCAAGTGCTTTAGGAAATCAGGCAAAATGAGCTATAAGGAACAAGCCAGTAAGCTGCACTCCTCCATGGCCTCGCTCTCAGTTCCTGCCTTGAGCTGCCCTCTTGACTTACCAGGATGATGAACTACAAGCTGAAAGGTGAGATAAACCCTTTCCTCACCAAGTTCTTTTTAGTCATGGTGTTTTATTACTGCAGTAGAAACCCTAACAGACCAAAAAATGGTACCAGAGATTGAAGTGGTGTTCTGATAGAGAAGAGTGTATTTTGAGCAGGATTGTGGAAGGATTTTGAAACATTTAGACTGGAAAATCCATTGGGTGCTCAGAGCTCTGGGGTTTTCTATGGTAGTTTGGAAAGATAAGAATACTGAAAGTAATGTGGATGGTGGAAGCTTATGAGGTATCAGAAGGAAGTTTTCTTAGATTCCCTTAAAGACTCTCTTGTGATATTTCACTTCTGGGCATATACCCAAAAGATGCACCAATATAGGACATGGACACATGCTCCACTATGTTCATAGCAGCCTTATTTATAATAGCCAGAAGCAGGAAACAACCCAGATGTCCCACAACAAGAATGGATGCAGAAAAGGTGGTACATATGCACAATGGAGTACTACTCGGCTATTAAAAGCAATGGCCTCATGAAATTCACAGGCAAATGGATGGAACTAGAAAATATCATCCTAAGTGAGGTCACCAAGACACAAAAGAACACATATGATGTATGTATTCACTGATAAGTGGATATTAAGGAAAAAACTCAGAATACCCATGATACAACTCACAGACCATATGAAGCTCACGAATAAGGAGGACCAAAGTGTGAATGCTTCAGTCCTGCTTAGAAAGGGGGAGGGACTTGGGAGGAAGAAGAGGGGCTAAAGGGAGCAGGATCCAGTGTGAGAGTTGCTGGTGAAGAAGTACAGAGGGTCAGAAAATTGAACAGAGGAGTGTAGCAGTGGGGGATGGGGTACCGGGGAGGGGGTAGCCACTAGAAAGTCTCAGATGCCAGGGAAGCAAGAGGTTCCCAGGACCCAACTAGGGTGACATAGTCGAAATACCCTACGTAGAGGAGATAGAATCTGTAGAGACCATATCTAGTGGTTAGGTACAGTCCCTGGTTGAGGGATGGGGCCACCCACCCATCTCAAACTATTAACCCAGAATTGCTCCTGTCGAAAGGAAATGCAGGGACAAAGAGTGGAGCAGAGACTGAAGGAAAGGCCATCCAGAGACTACCCCACCTAGGGATCCATCCCATCTGCAGACACCAAACCCAGACTATTGCTGATGCCAAGAAGTGCTTGCTGATAGGAGCCTGTTACAGCTGTCCCATGAGAGACTGTGCCGGAGCCTGGGAGATGCAGATGCTCACAGCCAACCACTGGGCTGGACACGGGGACCCCAATGGAGAAGTTAGGAGAAGGACTGAAGGAGCTGAAGGGGTTTGCAACCTCGTAGGAAGAACAACAAAATCAACCAACCAGATCCCTGAGAGCTCCCAGAGACTATACCACCAACCAAAGAGTACACATGGATGGACCCATGGCACCAGCCAGATATGTAGCAGAGGACTACCTTATCTGGCATCAGTGGGAGGGACATCCCTTGGTCCTGTGGGGCCTTGATGATCCAGCATAGGAGAATGCTAGGGTGGTGAGGCTAGAGTGGGTGGGTGAGTAGGGGAGCACCCTCATACAAGCAGGGAGAAGGGGGATGGGATAGGCCATTTGTGGAGGGGAAATCAGGAAGGGGGACAACATTTGAAATGTAAAAAAATAAAAAAGCCAATTAAAAGAGTCTGTGGTGTTTGGTCTGTTGGAGCTGAAGAATCAGCTGTGACAAAGAAGACTCCAGCTCCACTGAAGTAAAACCTTTGCTTTGCTAGGACAATAGATACTTGTCCTCTGAGACTAGAGGAACCACTATGATTAAGAAGAGACCAGCTTCACGGAGGCAGAATCTTCTGGGAAGTGTTTTCTCAGAGTCAGCACACGGAGGCTGTGATCCAAAGGTGTGGGGCAGTGGGCTATGAGAAAAGGCCAGAAAGCTTGGTACAAAGCTCTAGAAGCCCCGGCACCTTGGTCTGAAGAAGACCATTAAGACGGGAGGCGCTTCGAGCTTCCCAAAGTCATCTGGCTCTCTTAGCTTCAGCTCCCCACAGCCCCTCCCATGGAGAGGTCCATGGCCAGTGATCACGTAGAAGAAACACCTTCATGTAGATGAGGCATTCCCAAGCTCTCAGACCAAGCCAATAGGGGTTACCTACTGCCACCCCAAAAACTGCATATATTGGCCAAGCTCAAAAGTAAATGTGTGTGAGATCCTTCCCACTGTCAGAGAGCTTTTGTCGAGGTTCCTCCCCCGTCCGGCCAGCCTGCACACTTCAAAGAGCTTTAACACTTTTTCCCTCTCCGCGCTCCACATCGGAGACGCTGAAACACGGTTTTGGGGCAGGGCAGCAGCGAACTCTCCCTGCCTGCTCACCACCCATCCCGGGCAGCCCGCAGACAGCCACCGATCGCACCCTGTCCTCAGCCCGGCCAGAGATCCTCGTGGGGCCCATCTGGAAACGGTCCCGCACAAAGGTGGAGACGGCCATACCTTATGCTGGCAGCCAGATGTGGTAGGGCTGAATCATCCACTTGGAACTGCTTATGGAGACATGAAGGTTTCATGGAGAGAAGGTGAGACTTAGCGCTACGAGATAGGGCTGAATTCAAGTCCCAGGAGAGAGGCAGGGAGAGGTCATTGGAGAATGTGCATCCTCATTACAGTAAAAGACCTGGGATTGAAGGAGTCATGGAGAGGGGCTGAGGCTTTACATCAATATGGCAGGATTGCAAAGCCCTGGCAAGAGCCCAGGAGAAACTGTTGGTGAGAGTGCAGCCTGATAGTAGTGGGGACCAGAGCATTATAGAGATACCAGTATGATGGAACTACTGCCAAGGCCTACAACACCCAGACTGTTGAGCTGGCCTGAGTCTAGGAAACACTACATGTGTGCTGTGTAGGGTGGAGCCAGAAAAGTGACTCAAGCCAGTTAGAGAACCCCCCAGGACCGTGAAGGGATCTCAGAAGTCTGACACTGAGCTTCATACTGTTGAGATTTGTTTCTTCTTTGATTTCATTGTGACTATACCCTGGTTCCTCTCTATTGAAAGAAGAAAAGATTCAACCTGTTTTGATTTTACTAGGATTCCCAAAGTTGGGCAGTGTTGAACTTTTAAAGAGCTTATTTATTAATATAACACCTTGGGATCAACAAGAAAGAAGAGATTATAGTTTAGTAGTGATGTATTTGTGTGCCAAGTTGACAAGGGACCGACCAAGTCTGCTGGTTAGTTTCATGTCAACAAGCTAGCGTCATTTTGGAAAAGATAACTTCAGGGAGAGCGTGGTCCTGAATAGATTGGCTTGTCAGCAAGCCTATAGTGCATCTTCTTTAATTGAACACTGATATGCAAGGGCACAG